TTTGGCAAAACTTCAATACATGCTCATTTTCTTGTAGATAGAGACACATTCCTTCTAAAGGATTTACTTTAGATTTCATATCTAAAATTTGAGATGGTTTAGAGGTGATTTTGAGTTGATCAAAATTGAATAATAGATGTATATTTCATGTATGGTTAAATTATTTTTTAGTTTTTTTGAGTGTATCATAATGTGTGGTCAGTGTATAGCTCATGTATGGGTAAACTAATTATATTATTGTGTATATTTGAAATTAGCCTAAAAAATATTTCAGAATAATAGTGTTGGGCCCGTGCTTAGCATGGGCACTGCCTATCTAGTTATAATAGAAATGTGAAGCCTTGGATGACCAAGGGCGGCAGTTTTGTCAATTTAATAAAATTCCAAGAAAAATCTGAAGGATGAGTGTTAGAAAATGAGTTTTTTTGTAGATAATTTTTTCTTTAATGGTTCCTTTTTTAGATTAAATATTGTTTTTATTTAAATAACTTGTTAGAATAATAACTAATTTCTACTATAAGTATATTGAGGCAATATGATGCATATAGATTAAAGGGATAAGGGTCTGAAAAATATTCCAACTTTGATCGGATTTGTTGTTGCGATACTAAACTTTCATGAGGATCTATTTCCTCCCTAGACTATTTAATACCGTATTTTTTACTCCCTGAATTATTTAATAGTGTATTTTAAAGGTATATGTGTGTCCACGTGGACACATTACTATTTATAATTTTGCATTATTTTTTATGTCCACGTGGGCAAATATATATGTTTAAAATACGGTATTAAATAGACTAGGGAGATAATAGGTCCTCATGAAAGTTTAGTATCACAACAGCAAATTCGACCAAAGTTAGGATATTTTTCAAGCCCTTATCCCTATATTAAAAGAAGAGCTTGAATAATGATCAAATATAACTTTTTAATATATTTCCATCATATAAGCTAAATGGAGATGACAATTGCCAGAAGAAAAAAATGATAACATTTATATGAAAGAAACATCGTCTTGCCTAGTCACTCTTCCAGAAGACTACATCCCTTCTAGTTCTTCCTTTGGATGATTTTCTTCTTTCTTCAAATAATCCTGAAATTACACAACCAAGAATAAAAGGTAAATCAAGTTAATAATAATATCAATTCAAAAAATTCTTAATAAATACATAAAAAAAAAAGAGGTGCCTCTATATTAAGAATATATAAAAATTACGTTTAATTGGGACCGATCTAAGACTTCATAAACTTTACATTTTAAATCCGCCTTTGAAACCTAAACACAACCAGTGGCGGAACCACATTTACTTAAAGGGACCGACATCCGTTCGTCAGAAAATTATGTTGTATAGGTAGATATAGTTATTTTTTTATGTATATATATCACAGATTGACACTCATTAATATTTTGACACCCCTTAGTCGAACACAACCAGTGGCGAATCTACAGGTAAAAAATAGGGCACCGGAACCCGTGGTCTCTTCGTAAAACTAGATATTTTATGTATATATTTTCTAAGATTTGTATATTATTATATTCTTGCACCCGTGCTATAAGAAGTCTATCTGGTCCACATGGTTAAATGTTGAGCTTTTTACCTTGAGGATGAAGAATCAATTCTCACTTAATATATTTTTCTTGATGCATCCATGTTCGGATCAATTCCCACTTAATACATTTTTCTGGATGCACCCATGTTTGAAAAATTCTAGATTCGCCTCTGAACACAACAATTAAAGGGTGAAAAAAATGCTTACTTAGCTTGGAGCAATCAAGATTGGGACCAATTGGTACAAAGCTACTGAAATTGCAAAGCTGAGGAAGTTGTCTAGCTTTTGAATAGTCTACTGGGATAGAATCCAATGCAGCTTTAAAGCACCTACAAACCACTTTGTGGTTTAATTCTGAGTCAAAAGCTATTCTAGACAATATTTGCATTCCATCACAACAAATTTGAGGAGGTATTTCAACTTGACCTACCATAAAACTTGTACAAGGAATTATTTTTGGTGTAACATCAGTACCACAATGAATAATTCCATTTGTTTGGCCTAAAATTAGAGCTAGAGCAAACAAAGTTAAAAAAAAACTGAAAACATTTTTTCTAAATTATTGGTGATGTAATGAGGAAGATGTATGAATGAGCTTATTTGTAGTGGTTTAGAAGAGTTGAGTATTTAATTATTTTGAATTTAACATTAATATGAATCTATCTCTTAAGTTGGTTTGTTTGACGTGAGAGGAGGTAGTAATTAAAGTAAGCTTTAGTGATTTTAATAATTAGATTCTTTATTTAATTTTGGGTGAATTTGATATCACCCTCTAAAATGTGACTTATTTGTGTTGGACCCCAAATGATCTTTTTTTGAGTAATTAAACTAAAATTGTAATTCAAGAAACTTCTCCCTTTAAGATAAGTAAGAAAAACATCTCTCGTTGTTTATACAAACTTAGATGATCAAGCCTTAGCTTGGAATCAATTTTATTTAAAATCATGTAAAAGGTTGGAAAAAGGATAAAACTCATTAACTCTCTCTCTCTCTCTCTCTATATATATATATATATATATATTTATATCACTTATTGCACTCCTTGAGTACTTCTACTCGATTTTACTTCTTTATATTTAGACATCCCTTAGTCGAAATTTTGGCTCCGCCACTTTATACAACAATGAAAGGGTAAAAAAGATGCTTACTTGGTGCAATCAAGATTGGGATCAATTGGTACAAAGCTAGTGAAGTTGCAAATCTGAGGAAGTTGTTTAGCTTTTGAATAATCTACTGGGATAGTTTGCAATGCAGCTTTAAAGCACCTACAAACCACTTTGTGGTTTAATTCTGAGGCAAAGCCAATTTAGACAAATTTTGCAATCCAACACAACAAACATGACTAGGTACATCAACTTAACCTACCATAAAACTTCCACAAAGAACTAATTTTGGAATAACATCAGTACCACAATGAATAATTGCATTTGTTTGGTCTAAAATTAGAGTCAGAGCAAACAAAGTTAAAAAGAACTTTTAAATTTTTCTCTAAATTCTTGGTGATGTAATTTGATCTTTCATATCAAAGTTTTAATGAGAAAGATGTATAAAAAAAATGCATCTTTATTCTGGTTTAGAAAAGTTGAGTATTCAATTATTTTGAATTTAACATTAATATGAATCCATCTCTTTAACTTGGTTTGTTTGACATGAGAGGAGGTAGTAATTAAAGTACTCTTTAGTGAATTCAATAATTAGATTTTTTCTTTAATTTGCATCTCTTCTTCACATGTCCGAACCATCTCAATCTCACTTTCCTTATCTTGTCTACCACAGAGGTCACTCTAACCTTATCCCAAATATTCTCATTCTTAATTTTATCGCTCCTTGTATGTCCATACATCCACCTCAACATCCTTATTTCTGCGATAAACATCTTTTGAACATAGAAATTCTTGATTGGTCAGCACTCTGCTCTATAAGCATGACTTCTAAAGTAATTTAAAAAAAGTATATTTCAAATTGTTTGCAATAGGTGATTAATGTGGTACAAACTTTAATGAAATATTTCATTTTTGTTCATGTTGTTGATTCCCTAAAATGTCTAATATCCTTAAATTAATTATATATGCTTATCTATCTTGAGTAGTGTACGTGTTAGTGTAGCCCCAGCGATCACGAGTCTTCAGTCATAGTATTCATTACTTATCTAATTTAACTGCTTTTTATTTTTGAGTTAATGGTCAAAAACACATCGAAACTATCCTACTTTATTGAGTTTCATACCTGAACTATTGAGAGTATAAGTTTCCAACCTGAACTATCGTCCAATGGTTAGTGAAACACACCTAGACATTGACTAGATCAAATGTTTATCTAAAAATGCCTCTACGCATGTTTGTCCATAAAATCTACGTTCAACTGACATATATAACGACTCTATTTGCTTAATACATTAATATTTTATATAATTTTAATTGACTTATACCAAATATATACCACAATTCTTTCTTGTTGATGAGAACAAATTTGAGTTAAAATTAGCAATACATTATATTCAATTATTTTGAATTTAACATTAATATGAATCCATCTCTTAACTTGGTCTGTTTGACATGAGAGGAGGTAGTAATTAAAGTACTCTTTAGTGAATTTAATAATTAGATTATTTATTTAATTTGCATCTCTTCTTCACATGTTCAAATCATCTCAATCTCACTTCCCTTATCTTGTCTACTAGAGAGGTCACTCTCACCTTATCCCGGATATCCCCATTCTTAATTTTATCGTTTCTTGTATGTCCATACATCCACCTCAACATCCTCATTTCCGCAATATACATCTTTTGAACATAGGAATTCTTGATTGGTCAGCACTCGGCCCTATGATATGAGCATGATTTCTAAAGTACTTTAAAAAAGTATATTTCAAATTGTTTGCAATAGGTGATTGATGTGGTACAAACTTTAATGAAATATTTCATTTTTGTTCATGTTGTTGATTCCCTAAAATGTCTAATATCCTTAAATTAATTATATATGCTTATCTGTCTTGAGTAGTGTATCCCCAACGATCATGAGTCTTTCAGTCATTGTATTCATTACTTATCTAATTTAATTGCTTTTTATTTTTGAGTTGATGGTCAAAAATACATTGAAACTATCCTATTTTATTGAGTTTTATATATGAGCTATTGAGAGTGTTAGTTTCCAACCTGAACTATCATTCAATGGTTAGTGAAACACACCTAGATGTTGACTAGATCAAATGTTTATCTAGAAATGCTTCTACGCGTGTTTATCCATAAAATCTACGTTCAACTGAGATATATATAACGGCTCTATTTGCTTAATACATTAATTTTTTATGTAGTTTTAATTGACTTATAATACCAAACATATACTACAATTCTTTCTTGTTGATGAGAACAAATTTGAGTTAAAATAAGCAATACATTATATTCAATTTATTCATCATAATATTTTATTGGAAACAAAACAAGAAAAAGTGTTTCATATTGTACAACCAACAAGAGAATCTCTTATAGAACACAACTCTCTAACAACCTCCTTCATGTTTTTTCTTTTACTTGAATCATACATTGAACAATCAATACCAACTCCAAATAAGGAAATCAAACCCTCTACCATTTTTTGCCTTCTCATGAACCTTGGAATTTGAGACCTCTCTCTGCTTATCTCTTCCTCTTCAAAATTAAGAACTGGATCTACTATCTCAAGTGCTCCATCAGGCATGGCATTCCTAACAAAATCATGAAGGCTTAAATCGCCGCCAAACATGTCATCTGTTGGTCTTTTCCCAGTTAACATTTCAAGCAAGACGATACCAAAACTATACACATCACCTTGCGTTGATGCCTCGCTTCCCATACCATACTCTGCAATGAAAATATAGCGGCAATTGAGTTAATGTCATTGCATTCAGAGTCACTAAAGTCTTTAGAGACATTTATATAGAATGAAATTTACCTGGAGCTATGTAGCCAATAGATCCTTTAAAAGTTGAAGAGCTTGTCTGAATTCTACAAGTGGTTTCATCAGTAAGATGTAGGAATCTTGCCAATCCAAAATCACCAACATGGGCAACCAATTCATTGTCAAGGAGAATATTGCTTGGTTTGAGATCACAATGAACTATTGATATTTGACAATCATTATGAAGATAATGAATTGCACTAGCAACATCAATAGCAATATTCATCCTTTGTAGAAATCCTAACCTTCTTGGCTGAACATTTGGTCTTGAATTATCTGGATACAACCAGTCCTCCAAACTTCCGTTGGCCATAAACTCGTAAACCAATGCCTTGAATTCGTTGCCATGATAATCAACACCAGAACATGCAGTAAGTAGCTTAACTAAATTCCGATGTCTAACATTTCTCAAGGCCTCACATTCTGCTATGAAACTTTTGATAGCTCCATATTGTAAAAGATTCAATACTTTTATAGCAACGTGCTTACCATCCGTTTCTAAAATTCCCTTATAAACATATCCATAACTCCCAACACCAATCAAGTTGCTCGTAGAAAACCCGTTGGTAACTTTGAGAATACTTTGATAGGACATAGCTATGAGTTGGTTTAGATTGTTATCTAATGAAGGAAATGTTCTTTTGGACCTTTCGAATCGATAGAAGAAAAAAGCACAAACCATAACAACTAGCCCCAAAATTCCTAATATTACTAAAATAACAAGCTTAAAGTTCATTTTCTTTGAATGACTGAAGTTGCAATTGGGAAGTTTCAAGCCAGGTACACCACCACAGATTCTAGGATTTCCAACGAAAGAATCTACACTCGCGTTCTCAAAGATGCCTCGTTGTGGAAGGGCACCTTCAAAATCATTAAACGATAAGTTTAAGAAATGTAAGGCAAATCCTTCCAAGTACTTTGGAACCATACCTGATAGCTTATTCCGCGAAAGATCTAAAACTTGAAGACTCTTTAGTGAACTGAAAGTGGAAGGAATAATCCCGTGGAATAAATTCCTTTTCATTGTTAAGTTAACAATTGTCACACAACTCCCAAGTGTACTAGGAATTTCACCATTGAGATTATTCAAAGAGACATCTAATGATAAGAGATTTTTCAGGCTTTCGATTTCTTTGGGAAGTGCGCCAGTCAAGTTGTTACTAGAAAGGTTTAGAACAACTAAGGAAGATATGAGACAAATTTCTTTAGGTATCGAACCGATTAAATTGTTTTGGTTCAGGTTAAGGTACAACAAACTTTGACATTTTGCAACACTTGAAGGTATTCTACCTCTAAGATTGTTATGATCAAGATTTAACTCTGTTAAAAGGCTCAGATTTGCAATGGAAAAGGGTATACTACCCGAAATTCTGTTTTGGGACAGGTGTAAATATCGTAGCTTATAAAGCTTCCCAATAGTCGAAGGGATGATACCTGTGAGTTGGTTTCCGCTCAGCCTAAGCTCTTCCAAGTTGACGAATTTCCCAATGTCTATCGGGATATGTCCTGAAAACTGATTGCTTGACAAGTCTACAAACGCCAGATTACTTGAAAGGTTGCTGAAAAACTCATGAAATGTCCCTCCAAACGCGTTGTTTTGCATATACAGACGGTTGAGGTTAGTTGCATTTGTCAAGGAGGACATGAGGGTCAAGTCATTATCAAATTGGTTATTTTCCATGCTTAAAATATACAAATTATGCAACTTATCGAACCTAGGAACACGTCCTCCTAAGTCATTTTTTCCAACATAAAGGTACGCGAGTCCTGTGAGGTTGAAAAGTGAATTAAGGAAGCGATCCACTGAATTGATTCTCACTAATGCTGAGACACTCCAGGTTAGGAAGGTTGATCCCTAAATCCGGAGGCAGAGTACCTTCGAGTTGGTTAAATGACACATCAATGACTTTCAAGGAGGTAAGATTGTACAATGAGCTCGGAATTCTACCAGATAACCAATTAAAGTCCGCGTCAAATATTTCCAAACTCTTCAGTTTCCCAAACTCATCGGGGATTTTACCCTCGAGATCATTATCCAAAAGGTACATTTCCAATAGACTTGAAAAGTTACCATAAGATTTTGGGATTTCACCAATGAGCTTGTTGTAACCGAAATCAAAATATTTGAGTTTGGTAAGTAAACCAAGCTCCCTTGGAAGAACACCTACAAGATTGTTCTTGTACGCCCATAACTCAACGAGGTTACTACAAAACGATAGATTGACAGGAATTTCACCATAAAATGAATTGTTTTGCAAATATAGATGGCGTAAGCTTGTCAAACGGCCTAATTCAGGAGGGATATTGCCAGAAATGGTATTGTTTCCGATGTCTAGTCGTATGAGGAAGCTCAAATTTCCAACAAAGGGTGATAACACACCGGCTAGCTTATGGTCAAGAAGGTTTAGTTCAATGACTCGTTGATTTCGCGTTCCACATACAACGCCATGCCATTGACATAAAGGAACAGACTCATTCCATGTAATCAATGATTCAAAGGGATCAAGTATTTCATTCTTGATAGCAAAGAGTGCTTCAATATCTGTCATATTATCTGATTTTGAGGGAGTACTAAATGTGAAGAGAAATAAGAGAAGGAAGATTTTGTCAAGATTATAATAGGCCATGGTTTTCAAAAAATTCTAAAAAGCTTCTTAACTTGCTCTATTTTTATTTTACTATATACAACCTCAACTATGGACACATATATATAGGTAACAAGCTGATTAGGTCCAGTCAAGTATAATTAGGTCCGGTCAAGAAAAAAAAATTAAGAAAGTATTAGTTTATCTTGAAAATATTAGTTTGGGTACACTTAATTGCTTTATTTGATAGTTTTAAAAAATAAAAATAGTTGACAACTTTATTGTTTTTATTATTAAGATGAGTATATAATTTAAATGGATCTCAACTATAAATTAGCATATAGTACTGTAACATCCGACAATTTAAAAATGAATATGAAGAAGCTTGAAATTTGGAAATAGTCATTTTTGGAAAAATTTAAAATCTGGAAAATTTGGCTAAGTGTGGAAATCAGTGAGTTTTTGGCCAACTTTGAGCAGTCATAACTCCTAGATCAGGATGATTTAGGAGTAGTTCCAGTTATGGTTTCGAAGCTTGTGGAACGATCTTTCCAACGCCACTGAGTTTGCTCGATTCCGAGTTCGTATGAGCGAGTTATGATCTTTGAAAGTTGGGCAGTTGGCAGGGATTCCGTTCCGGAAATTTAAGGGCATTTTGGTCTTTTCACAAATAATTTCTTTTGAGCTTATATTGTTGTATTAGGCTGATATTTGGATCATTTTGTCCCATTTTGAAAGAGAAAGAGTTAGGGTTCAAGAGAAGAAGAAGAGAAGAAGGAGAAGAAGAAGAGAAGAAAGAGGAGATCAACAAGATTTGTCAAGATCATTGTGGATTTTCGTCGGGGGTGATCCCTATCAAGGTATGTGAGTCTTTAGTGTGGGTTTATCCTTTCCCCCCACATACCAAGCTCGTTTTTATGATTTGAGAAGAGATTGGATTTGTTGTTGAAGTTGTTGAAGTTGTTAGTTGTTGTTGATGTTGTTAGTTGTGTTGTTGAAGTTATTGTTGGTTGTGGGACAGGATTGGGCTGTGTATTTGAGTTGTGACCTATTGTATATTGAGGGATTTTATGATCCTTAGTGTTGGTTGGTTCATACCCCCACACACCAACTCGTTTTTAATTCCAAGAGAAGATTTATTGGTTGTTGAAGTTGTAGTGGTGTTGTGTTGAAGTTCTTGCTGATTTAGTACAGATTTCTGGCTGTGATTTTTGAGTTGAATCTATTGTATAATAAGGGTCTTTATGATTCTAAGTGTTGCTGCTGAAACCTTGAGGTTGAGAGGGTTTAGAATTGGAAAGAAACAAGGGGAAAAAGTCGGATTTTTGGGGAAAAAGGGGCTGGGCTGTTGCACCTCTCCTAGTGCCAAGGACATCAATCCTTCCCTTTCATTCACCATTTCTTTTTTTATACATGTTCCTAGGTATTATACCTATGTTTCCTAGTTGTTTCCAACACTCCAAGGTACTTCCAAAAGTCAAGTAAAACTACAAGTCAAGTGAAGTTAGTTTCCAAGTCAAGTGAAGTTAGTTTCCAATTCAAGTGAAGTTAGTTTCCAAGTCAAGTGAAGTCAAGCTTAGAAGTAAGTAAGTCAAAGCAAGTCTTTAAGGTTTTCCAAGAGTCTTCATTGAACGTTTTAACTTCATTCTAAGGCTCAAGTTCCAAGTTAAGTATTGAGTTTCAAGTCAAGTCAAAAGTTAAGAGTTTCATGTTAAGTTAAGAGTTTCACATCAAGCCAAGAGTTCAAGTAAAGTAAAGAGTTTAAAGTTGAGTTCTTTTCTCAAAGTTATTAGGGAACTATGTATTCCCAAAGAAGTTTTAAAGAAATGTTTTTACATTTAAACAAGGTTGGAAACTGAGATTTCCAAAAAGCCTTCGGGCTAGTTTTTGAGTAATTATCTCATATCAGCAGGAAGAAATATGTTTTAAAAACATAAGAGCCAGTACATTTTTGGGAGTAGTATCGAGCACCGAATTGGGGGAGCGTTCAAAGAACCCACAGCCCCCATAGAACCATGTTAGCCACCATGGGTAGAAAAGGATCATACTTTTTAGATGAATCCTTTTCAGATTAGACTAGTGGATCCATTAGGCAGTTCAGGTCTTATACCTTTGGCCGGGTATAAGATGCTCTGGCAGCGTGAGGTCGATCGCTGTATCATCACTATAGCTCTTATGTGATGGTTGTCGGTTAGAGAAACTCCCACAGCAGTTATTGTATTTTTCATACACAGAGATTATTGTATTTTTTATATACATCAGTTCATTGTATTTTTATACACATTTCAGGCTTATTGTATCCTTGTATACACACAGAGTTCATAGCATGTTTTAAGCAATCTTTCTTTATATCGCACTTGTTTTAAATTGCCTTATATTGAAAGAAGTCAGTCAGGTTGAGTTAAGTTGAGCCAGGTAAGCTATTCAGTTTCTTCCAGTTTTCCTTCTAGCCTTTGTTGCTTAGTTTTCCAGCTTGCATACTCGTACATTCCATGTACTGATGCCAGTTGGCCTGCATCGTTTGATGATGCAGATTCAGGTACCCCGGATCAGCATCCTGCACGTCGTTGATCCAGCTGAGCACTCCAGAGTCAGTGGTGAGCCTCTTTGCATTCCGGAGGACTCAATTATTTTGTGTTCTTAGTTTTTGTTTTATTAGGATGTTGCGGGGTCTGTCCCAACATCCATCTCAGTATTTTAGAGGCTTCATAGACAGACAGTCAGTCAGTTAGTTTTGAGTCTCTCATCTATATATATATGTAAATATTCTATTTTGAGATTCGAGTTGCCTTTATGGCCATATTTTATAAGTTAAGTTGTTTTGTAATATTGCATTGCATTGAGTTATTCTGTTGAGGTTTCCGCTGAGTTAAGAAAGCCAGGCCAAGGGTTCGCTTGGGGCTAGAAATGGTCTCCGGGTGCCGGTCCCGCCCAGGGTGTAGGCTCGGGGCGTGACAAGTACACATGGCATGAATCTATAAGGCAATTGAATATTACTTGATCTAATTATACTTGACCGGATCTTTATCCCAATTAGTAATAATTAGTTTGGCAGTTAGCTAGTTTGTTAATGGTGATTAGCTATTTTTTGTGTTTATATATATAGCTAAATATTCTTCTTGTACACACTCTCTGATGAATAGAAAAATACAATTCCAAGATAATTTTCCAAAGTTGAATTGGAAGTAGGAAATATCTGATGAATAAGAAAATGCAAGCACTGTTACTTTCAATTTTCAAATCACATGTTAGGACTTTTGTTGCCGGTTGTTTGGTACGAAGAAAAATATTTTTCATTTTTTTCTTGTTTAGTTGACTTAAATAACAAGAAATAGTTCAACTTCTAAAACTGATTTTTTTTACCTCATCCAATCCCTGACTACCCCTACCCCCTCCACAAAAAAAAAGTTTGGTTTTAAAAAAAAAAATTAAAATTTTCATTTTCTTTTATCCACACCTACCCCAACCCCTTACCAGCCCCCACCCCAAAAAATATAATTTAAAAGTTTGTTTTTAAAAATATTTTCAATTTAATTTTTTATTTTTCTACCCCCACCCTCTTACCCTCCCCCCCTCCCAAAAAAAAATTAAAAGTTTATTTTTGAAAAATAATTTTAAATATTAAAAATTTTATTTTTCACCCCATCCTACCTCGACCCCCATCCAATATATATATATATAAATTTAAAAAATTGTTATTGAATTTTTTTTCATTTTTCATTTTTTTACCCCATACCCCCACCCTCCCAAAAAAATTGTTTTTGAAAATTTTTATTTTTACCCCATCCTACCCCTCCCCCTCCCCCCTCCAAAAAATAAAAATAAAGTTTGTTTTTAAAAGAAAATTTCAATTTTTTTAAAAAAAATTAAAGAATTAGTTCGTGTGTTGGAGTCATGTCCTAGATCAATTATCGAGGTCAGAAATTATTTTCCTAAAGAATATTTTCTATTCTCTAGTAAAAAATAAAAGATATTTTCTGAAAAAATGTATCTCATTCACAAACCAAACCCTAAAAACTATTTTTAGAAAAATATTTTCTACTCACCAACCAAACATGAGAAAATAAGTCAAAAATCTACTTGTTTTCCCGAAAAA